TATTATCAATCGAAGAATACTTATTTAAAAAAATAGAGAAAAAAGATACAAATTTATTATTTATATTAATAAATGGATACCTTTATCAATTAAATAAAAAACTATTTTTTATCAATAAACCTTTGAGTGATAAAAAGTGTCTATTTATTAATACAAATAAAATTAATGTCTTTTATTTTTAAAATTTTAAATAAGTGTCCCTGAAAAGAGAATAACCCCTTTTGGAAATGTAAAGATTAGGATAAAGATAGGACAATATTGTAATAAAGTAGAATAAGAAGGGTAATTACGAAACAAGTGATTATTATTATGTTATTAGCCACTAGGCTCCTCCGCCAACATCGGAGCCGCAGTCAGTGTCTGTGTTCTCTGCCACCTCCATTTCTTTGTTTAAATTATTTAGTATTTTATCAATAAAAAATCAAATATTTTTTTAATATTATTTTTCTATTCTTTAAAGTAGAGAGGCTACTTCAGATTCTGTGGCTTGCGTTCTTTGTTCTCTGTTGTTTTTAAGATTGATTTGTGCTGTAGAAAGGAGTAAAAATGGCGCAGGGAAGTATGGACCCTGCCGTTTTGGACGATATCATTAGTCGTTTATTGGATTTCAAGAACGGGAGACCTGGCAAACAAGTTCAACTCAGTGAGTCCGAGATCCGCCAACTCTGTACGGTCTCCAGAGAAATCTTCCTTCAAAACCTAATCTTTTGAACTCGTGCACCATCAAGATCTGCGGTACGCCGTCGTTTTTACCCCCCCTTTTCTGTTTGAAGGTTAAATTGTGATAAGAGATAAGAACAGTAATAAAGTTGTGATTTTTTTTTTTTTACTTATAACCTGTAGCTTTTTAAATGATACGGTAAAGGTCTCTCTTTTAGTGCCGTTGATGTTGTTTTGTGTTTGGGTTTGATTTAGTGGAAATTTAGTAGGAAGTTTGTGGCTTTTGAGAAGAAAAATTGGGTTTTTAAAATGAAGGTAAAGGATAAACACAAAAGAGTGAATTGAGGGATTTTAAAAAGATTTTTATTTTGGTTTCCGTAGCTCATTGAGTTTGTGTGATTTTGATTTGGTGTTACAATGGGATTGAAACCTTTCTATAGCCTTGTAATACTCATCCCGAAATTAAAAGGAACAAGGGGGGATAAGTGGATGGGTTTGAGCATGTCGGTGCTAAAGGCCTACATTGAGGCTGATTAGTATATAGAGCTTGTCTGAACTTGGTTTTTGGAGATTTAATGGGATGTTTGTGCTTGAAATGGATTAGTGGTAGAAGTTATTGCTGTATATTTGTCAATATCTTTGTATTGAAGTTTCTGTTATGGTGTGAACTGTTTTCAGTTAAGTTCTCTCATTTGATATCTAAGAGAAGGTGAAATAATTAATTCCACCTTGTTATCTTTAACAATTATTGTTCTTGACTGTTTGACATTGATCTTTCGTGAAATTCATTTGGTGTGCTTTAGCTATTGGCTTTGCCTCACTTTCAGTGTCTCTTTTGGGTAATGGATGGTGGTAACCTATTGATTTCAAATCTAAATATGAGAGATTTGGAGAGCATAACACGAAAACGGCAACTGCATGAGGGGAAAAAGGGCATTAAGGGAAAATAATCTGTTTCTTGTTTGCTTCCATTTAACGAGGGAAGTGGTGCCACTACAGTATTGCTGCTTGTAGGATTCACATTGTAATATTCATTACAGAAGGCCAGAGTAACCTCAATTGTGTGCCTAAATTGCTCTTGCAACATAGCAGAGCAGGTGAAACAAATAACTATGGGTTATATGGCTAGTTGTATTTGGTCAAACAAATAGGAACTCTTGAGAGTTGAATCAAATATTGATATCTCACCTCACTGTTATGTGAAATTAAGTGACAGACAACGTTAAAGGATTCGCGCAGTATGAAGCTTAGATTACTGGTTAAGATTTTACCTATTGTTATGTAAATTTCGATTTTAGAAGCCTTATCTCTACATTTTTAGTGCAGTTTGTGTTTGGTTTTTAAAGTAGGAATGGTGCAATTCATTTTTTCAAAAATTTGTTTGACTAGAGTTTGACTGGGTTCTATTATGATCCTTTAACTGGATTTCTGGTTGGTTGTTCTTTGTTTGCATATATGTACTATGAAATTCTTCAATCATTCTTACTTATATTGTATCTGTTGCCACTAAAGTTGAGTCTTAAACCTTTGTGCTTTTTGCTTTCTTTTTCTGAATTTCCAGGAGATATTCATGGCAGTATTCGGATCTTTTGAGGCTTTTGAATACGGGGGTTTCCCTACAAGGCTAAATTATTCCTTGGGGACTATGTTGACCGTGGCAAGCAGAGTTGTGAAACAATATGCCTTTTGCTTGCATATAAAATCAAATACCCGAGAAACTTTTTCTTCTAAGAGGAAATCATGAATGCGCCTCTATCAACCGGATTATGGATTTTATGATGAATGCAAACGCCGATTCAATGTGAGACTATGGAAAGTATTTACTGATTGTTTAACTGCCTTCCTGTAGCGCTCTAATCGATGACAAGATATTGTGCATGCATGGTGGCCTTTCCCCTGATTAACAAATTTGGATCAAATTGGAAGGTACCCCGTCCCACTGATGTTCCAGATTCTGGTTACTTTGTGATTTACTTTGGTCAGATCCTGAAGAGAGTGAAGGGCTGGGGAATGAATGACCGAGGAGTCTCATACACTTTGGGCAGATGCGTGTCAGATTTTTGATGAAGCATGATATGGACTGGTCTGTCGTGCACATCAGGTTAGGGACATTAGCTTCTCTTCTTCTCTCTTCACCCGTGTTCTTGAGGCAAGTAGCTTAACTTGATGCTTATTCTTCCAGGTTGTGAGGATGGGTATGAGTTCTTTGCTGATAGACAGCTCGTCACAATATTTTCTGCTCCCAACTATTGCGGTGAATTTGATAATGCTGGTGCAATGATGAGTGTTGATGAAAGCTTAATGTGCTCTTCCAAATCCTTAAGCCTACAGATAAAAAGCCAAGGTTCTCATGAAAAAATCTGGTGATTGCTGTTCAAATTACTGGTTAGAATTGCTAATGTGAGTTTCACATTGCTTCTTTTGCTAAATAAAATTTGTTAATGTGATCTTAAATATAAACGAGGAAATTGCTTTCTAGTGCTGAAATCTGAAGTAGTTTCCTAAGTGTAATGGTGCATGCAGTTGTCAGTCATATTGGTAGAATTCAAATGTGCTAGTAATCATGTGGATCTTTGCTGATATATGTTTATATCACCATTTTTTGGTCTAGATCCTTAATATAAATTGGAATATTAAACTAGATTAAGTTTGAGTTCAGAATAACAGTGATTTAATTAATTGAGATGAACTTCACATGAGCTTCTCAACCTACCAGTTCATCTGAATTGACGGCACAGAATTTGCTGGAATTGTGTTTTCCTTCCACAAATACTACTTGCCTTATTTATGGCATCTGCCTTGCTATCTGATGTTCCATGAGTAAACACAAGCATCATAGGATGCAGACTTCTCATGCCCCTGTAACTTTCAGTCCATTCTCCTTCCCATATATGTTGGTCAAATTTTAATGCTTTTACCTATAATAATAGCAAATGATAGAGATGGGCCATCTCTTTCAATTTTATCTTGGTCGTATTTGAATGAAGCCTATCTTGTGGTTTCCTCTTTATTGTGTCTATCTATATGATTAAATTATTTTAAGATTGTGGTTAATGATCTCTCTGCTCTATACTAGTTTTGTGATATGGTGAAGACAATGATATGCGCAGCCAAGAGAAGTCATCTTAGTTTTGTGGGATTTTCAAACATCCATTTGGATTCTTGAACATATTATTATATTGTTGTTAAAATTTCTATATATTAGTTACACCATCTTGTTAAAGTTCTTGCTGCTTCTATATGACAAACTCGAACCCATACCAAAAGTATTTGAGCTTTCTATAACTTCACTCTTTAAACATTCATTGGTTTATTCTGACTGTTCTGATTTCTGATTTTGCTAATGTTACACATTCCTTGCAGTCTATTTGTGAGTTAAGGAAAAATCAGTTGAAGATAAACCTGTTTTATAGCTCCTTCAGTGTCGGAAGTTGCAGATCATTATGCTTCTTTCAGCATTGAGGGGATGAGTTATTTGTTAAAATTTATTGCGTCAAAAGAGGAGCTCTCCTACTTAAACGTGGAGGTAACTTCTTCATAGGGCGGCATCAATGGGCAGGGTATTCATTTCTTACAATTAAGTTTTCACACGGAAATTCAATGGCCGTGTATATTCATAATGTTTTGTAAATGACTGCACTTTGTAGAATGTAAGACCCAGTTGGAAGATTGTCTTCTTCAATATAAGGTTTCTCTCTACCTCTCTAGTTAGCTTTGGCTGTAAACTCTTGAGGTATGGTGCTGTCTTGATTGAATGGATTAGCATGTATTGTCATCTCTATTGCTGTTTGCATTGTATTGCTAATTTGCTGCTAGTGACAAAACTACTAGTTGAATGAATTTGAGTTTGCATTTCATTTCATGCGTATGAAATTTTATGACATTGATTAGTCACTTCTTGACCACCGCTGCCTCCTCTTGCCATCAGAGCCTTAGCTCTTTGTCATAGCCCTGTCGTCACTGTTCACTTGAAATGTCAAAATTGGCATGCTATAGATCCAAAACCTCTACTATTCTCAGAAAAGTTCATTCTTGAAATGTCAAACTTGGCACGTCACTAGATTCAAAATCTACTATACTTAGATAGTCAATAACAGCTTTAGTCGACAGGGTTAACGTGGAAGCTGATGCAACTATTAGTTTTGCATGTTCATGTGCTCAAGCCCATTTGTCACTCCAGTTTTTAGTGCTTAATTCACAAGGTGCATGTTCATGTTCATGTGCTTGTAACTGGTAAGTGACAAAAAGCTCAAGCCCTATTTATAATCTAACTGTGAACCCTTTTTCAGTACTGCATCAGAACCCTAATGAACTTCACAAGTTAGCATAGACAGGCAAAAATGAAGATGCTTACTTCTTTATTTGTTCACGTTTTGCTTGTAGTGGTTGCCTCTACTACCAGAGTTTTTGGTAGTGGATACCTTGAAGATGAACCTCATAGTGATGGAGGACATGTAACAACACAAGGAGCAATCTACGGGCATCCTCCACCACAACATTATGGTCATTTACCTCCAATTCACAAACACCCACCTCATCATAAACATCCACCACCTCACAAGTATCCTCCACCCCCTCGTGGCCATCCACCACCGTTGCAATACCCTCCACCACCCTCTCATGGTTATCCTCCACCTTCCCAATCTCCACCACCTACTCAATATCTCCCACCCTCTCATGGTTATCCTCCACCTTCCCACTCTCCACCACCCTCTCATGGGCATCCTCCTCCTTCCCACTCTCCACCACCCTCTCATGGGCATCCGCCACCTTCCCAATCTCCACCACCCCAATCCCCGCCACCATCTCCTAGGTATCCACCACCATCACCACCCACGACAACTTATCCTCCACCTACTGCAACTTATCCACCACCATCGCCGCCCACTACAACATATCCACCACCCTCTCATGGGCATCCTCCACCTTCCCAATCTCCACCACCCCAATCCCCGCCACCATCTCCCAGGTATCCACCACCATCACCACCCACGACAACTTATCCTCCACCATCACCACCCACTGCAACTTATCCACCACCGTCACCACCCACTGCAACTTATCCACCACCAACCCAGTACCCTCCACCTTCTCCTAGATATCCACCTCCAACTCATACGTATCCACCACCATCTCAAACGTATCCACCACCATCCCAATATAATCCACCACCATCTTCACCATATCCTAGACCACCGCGTGCATGGAATTACCAACCACCTTACACCCAGTCAGTTACCCTTTGAGTATATGAATCAACTCTATATAGCATGTGTACTTGTTGCTAATAATAATAATATGTGAAGTACTGTGAGAACTCTTTGTCCTTGCTCTTTTTCTTCGGTGAACATAGTGACTGTCTAAAACCCTATGCCTATTAGTAGCAACGAAATAATATTATATATTGTACTGAAGTTATCCAATATTCCATGCTTTTCTTTTTGTTTAACCTGTAAAAGAATGAAATTTTGAGAAAAGCACAACCAAAACAATAAGAATTACGGCCAAACTGAAATGATCATTGATTCACTATATCTTTCATCGTGTACGTAGCAAGAGAAAAAAATTGTAGATTTAACCACTCATGATTCCATAGAAAGGATATTCAAGTTTAATTACATGAATGATATCTATTTCCATAAACTTTCGTATTAATGATCCACTATCACAAAAGGGTGTGGCATCGGCCAATTTGATGATGATATATAAACAAGATCCTAAAGCTGAAGGTTTTGTATTTGCCTCAAACAATTTTGGAACTCAAAACGCATATAGCTTCACCGTTTTAGTCCAAACTTCTCCGTATAATAACGTGGAAGCGCAACCAAGTTTCATTCTTCAGAGAAAATCAAAGATGTTCTTCCATATAATATTGGAGCGTAACATGCAACTTCACCCACGCCATTTCGGTCGCACACTGCGCGACCGTCTCGTCTCCAAGCTCATGAAAGATGTTGAAGGCACCTGCAGGTAATTAATTCAAAACTCTTAAACTATCTAAATTCAATAACGAAACACTAATTGATACGACACCACCTTGAGACATTTCTCTCCAGTGGCCGTCACGGATTTGTGGTGGCGATAACGGGCGTAGACAACATCGGGAAAGGGCGGATTCGTGACGGAACGGGTTTCGTCACGTTTCCGGTGAAATATCAGTGTGTTGTGTTTAGACCCTTTAAAGGAGAAATTTTAGAAGCTGTCGTTACTATGGTAAACAAGGTACGATTAATCAGTCAAGTTGATTTTTTTTTTTTTTTAATGATAATTTTTGTGCCTCATTTTAACTGAGTTTGGAAATTTTGCAGATGGGATTTTTTGCTGAAGCTGGACCTGTTCAAATTTTTGTTTCAAACCATGTAAGCTTATGTTTTAACATATTTGGTTTGAGTACTTTAGGAATATAAGATAGTCAAACCTTAGTTTTGACAGTGATCAAAGTGAATGTTTGTTCTGAAAGAAGCAAATTTTGAGAATGGTTCATTTATTGATATTGTATATGTGGATCTGTTACTGTGTTACATGACTAATGTGATGGCAATTAACTCTTTTTGGTTCAAAGTTTTAACCTTTTTATGTTGGTGTCATATGTTCTTGGTTTGATGGTGAGTTCTGCATCATTAAAGGTGTTTCATTAAGATTGAGTAAATTCTTGAACTGCAAATTTTGAGATTTGTTACATCAGTATTTAAATCATTGGTATGTGTTTTAGTTGATACCGGATGATATGGAGTTCCAATCTGGAGATGCCCCGAACTATACAACCTCAGATGGATCAGTATGCTTCAGTTTCAACTTATTTTCAATTTGTTATCAAACGAAACTTAATACTAGTTTTTGAGTTGTACTAATGTAAGCTTGAAATTGGTACCTTGGGGTTCTTGCAGGTTAAAATTCAAAAGGATAGTGAAGTGCGGTTGAAGATAATTGGGACTCGTGTAGATGCTACTGAAATTGTATGCACTTAATCATATTTTTCCTAATTAATCAAAATATCTACAGGCAATTCCTTTGTAGCATTCATTGTGTCAACCTGAAACACTACTTTGAACCAGATTCTCTGTCAGATAACTCAAAACTTATTATAAAGAGACTTGCATATTATTACTGATAGAATTGGTCAATCCCATATGTTGGGTCATGTCTATTGATGGAGGTAGTTGTTGGTTCTAACTCCTTACCTGTTGGTCAAACACTCAGCTCAATTTAACCTGGGCTCTGACACTATGATAGAATTTGAGGTGGACCTGACTCCTCACCTAATAAGGTTTTATTAAATGGAAAGATTACACACTCTTATAAACTAGAGGTTTGAACATGCCTAATCAGTGTGTGACTCCAACAATTACTAGTCCTTTATATGACTTAATAATAAGTGATTACAGATTTAACATTCCTCAAATTTAATTGTCATGGCATCATGCTTGTTTATCTTTCTCCATATGTGAGATACAATTTCTATTGTTTCTTTATAGAAGGGGTAAATCATAGGCCTGTCTTCTGTAAGGTATTATTCATGGTGGTTTTGAGTGCCATTGGGAAGCATCACTTTTGGAGGTAAATGATTAATCTTATTTTAGCTCACTAGGTTTATCCTTCCTTCAGGTATGTGATTCTGTGACATGTTAGCTCCTATCGATTCAGTACATGTGCCGATTAGTACAATGGACAGCGATTAATTTGTGAAAACAATTTTGGAAGAGCATTCATCATTAACAGTTAACAGGGATAGTGTAAACACTATTGCATTCTAAACTGATCTAACTCGCTTGCCATATAAATGTTTTCTTTGATTCTTGCGTTGATACGGATTGAAAGACCTATTCTTAATGGTTTCCCAGAAAAGTAAATTTGAATATGGAATTCTGTGATACAAAATTAAACATATCCTTTTTGAGCAATGTACTTAATGAGCACAAATACTATATGTACGATTTGATGATTTATCAAAGTATTCTTACTGCTTATCTTGTACTTTGGTCCCTTTTGCAGTTCTGTATTGGCACCATAAAGGATGATTTCTTGGGCGTGGTTAATGACCCTACAACAATTTAATGAAGTTGATGCTTGAGATGTTTCTTTGCAGGAGAGAGTTATCTGCTTGCCTCATGTTTCTTGTTGTTTAGTTAGTTTCAAAGGGCATTGGCTTCCCCTTGAAATTATGATCTATTGTTGGTGAACATTCTTGTTTATCTGCACATTAAGATAAGTATTTATACTAATAAAATTTCAGAGAAGTCAATGATGGAAATTGCAACAAATGCCAAAGATTGTTTTGCAAGGAATTGGCATTGCCATATTTGCTTTGCAAGGAATTGGCATTGCCATATTTGCTTTGCCTTAAATAGCCAGAGTATTCGAATGGTGATATGTGTCTGGACGCTAGAGACAATTCTATTTGGGAATTCAACGAGGGTACATTCGGCGCCGCTGGACTCAACCTTTTTCGACCATCTTTGTTGGTTAGGTGGACCAATATTCTATCGTAAAGTTGATGATTTAAGGAAATAAGGTTGTTTCTATTAATATTTATAAAAATACTACGGATACTGATAATTTATATTGAATTTTTGTACCGATGTTCGTGACATTCAGTCAGACGTAATCACATTAGCGACAAAACATATCATTCGTGAATGAACGACCGTCCAATAATTATGGACACCTGTTCATATTTGATGCACGATCGTTCATCACGAATGGACGAGCGTTCATGAAAATAACAATGAACTCTCGTCAATATTATTTGGACAGGATTCCATTTACTATGGACGGGTATCCACCTCATATGGAAACCCGTCCATAAAATTTTAAAAATAAATAATGGACGCCAGTAGTAACTCACGAGTTAAGAAAATGTTTCTTATAAGACTAGGTTTTCAAGCTGAAGTTCCAGAATGGACTGGTGTGCCTTCTGAAAGCAACGTTAAGTGGTTGGGGACTCGGGTTTGGCCACTGGAAAAGGGAGAACATAGATTTTTAATTGAAAGGGATCGTATCGGAAAGAGAAGACAAGATTCGTGTGGTTGTCAATTCCCAGCATCTATTGTTATTTTCGTGGACGCTTATCCATTCGTGATGAATGACAGTCCATCAAATATAGATGAGCATCCATAATTGTTGAATGATCATTCATTCACGGAAAACATGTGTTGTTTCTAATATGACTGTGTTTGACTAGATGTCACGTATATCGATACAAAAATTTAATGCAAATTATCAGTGTCCGTAGCATTATTATAATACTTATAGCTTTTAATAAAATAAAAAAATAAAAATAAAAACTTAATTTTGACAATTTTAACATATATTAAGTCTCGGTGGTTTCTTTCACGAGTCGAAAAAGGGAATTTCAATTAATTTTTAAAGCTGTTCAACCCTTCAAAAACTATGAATTATTTTATTTGAGATATGATCAACAAAGGTAATTGCAATTCAATTTGCAGAGAAATAATAACAAAGGTAATTTTGTATGCTCGCAAACAAGACAAAACAGTACTTATCTGCCCGGCTCGCAACATCAGCTCCTATAAAAATCTCAGGTTCAGTCAGCAGATACTGCGACTGCAAGTCTCATCTGATGTGGGCGTTTCACTCTCCGCAAACTACCCAACTAACTTTTCGCTACAACAATTCAGCTCGTGCTCCTCCAAAACCACCCATCTGCTCAATAACCTTTAACTCCTCAAGCTCCACCACAACAGCCGACAACAAAAACAACTTAATCCAATCTTTATGCAAACAGGGCAATCTCAGAAAAGCTCTTAAACTCCTTACCAACGAACCAAACCCCACCCAACACACCTACGAGCTCCTCCTCCTCTCTTGCTCTCACCATAACTCTCTTTCCGATGCCCAAAACGTTCACTACCATCTCATCGATAATGGGTTCGACCAAGATCCTTTCTTGGCCACCAAACTCATTAATATGTACACAGAACTAGACTCTATTGATCACGTACGCCAGGTGTTTGATAAAACGCGTAATAGAACTATTTATGTTTGGAATGCGCTCTTTCGAGCGCTTTCGTTGGCGGGTTGTGGAGAAGAGGTTTTAAATTTGTATCGGGAAATGAATAGGATTGGGGTTCAATCGGATAGGTTCACTTATACTTATGTGCTCAAGGCTTGTGTTGCATCAAATTGTTTAATTTTCCTTTTGAATCAAGGGAAGGAGATTCACGCCAGTATTTTACGACGTGGGTATGATGCACGCGTGCATATTATGACTACTTTGATAGATATGTATGCAAGGTTTGGCTGTGTGACATATGCTAGTTATGTTTTCAATGAGATGGCTGTGAAAAATGTAGTTTCTTGGAGTGCTATGATTGCTTGTTATGCAAGAAATGGAATGGCATTTGAAGCATTGGAGATTTTTCGTGAAATGATAATGGAGACCCATGATTCGAATCCTAATTCAGTGACTATGGTTAGCGTGCTTCAAGCTTGTGCAGCTCTTGCTGCTTTAGAGCAAGGGAAGTTGATACATGCTTATATATTAAGAAGGGGTCTTGATTCAATTTTGCCTGTTATAAGTGCCCTGGTGACTATGTATGCAAGATGTGGCAAGCTTGAACTAGGGCAGCGAGTTTTCGATCAGATGGAGAAGAGGGATGTTGTTTCCTGGAATTCTTTGATTTCAAGTTATGGGGTTCATGGATTTGGAATGGAAGCAATCAAAATTTTTAAAGATATGATTTGTCATGGAATTCAGCCTAGTCCTGTATCTTTTGTTAGTGTTTTGGGAGCTTGCAGCCATGCAGGGCTTGTTGAGGAGGGAAAGATGCTATTTGAATCAATGCGGAAAGAGCATATGATAAGTCCTAGTGTGGAGCATTATGCTTGTATGGTAGATCTTCTTGGCCGAGCTAATAAGTTAGAAGAAGCAGCCAAGATTATTGAAGATATGAGGATTGAACCAGGACCTAAAGTTTGGGGTTCATTACTTGGATCATCTAGGATTCATTGTAATGTTGAGCTTGCTGAAAGAGCAAGCAAGCGACTTTTTGATCTTGAGCCTACAAACGCGGGCAATTATGTACTGCTAGCTGATGTATATGCAGAAGCTAATATGTGGGATGAGGTAAAGAGAGTAAAAAAGCTACTGGAAGTTAGAGGGCTGCAAAAGGTCCCAGGTCGATGTTGGATTGAAGTTAAGAGGAAAATGTACTCATTTGCTTCTGTTGACGAGTTCAACCCACAGGTTGAAAAGCTGCACGCTCTGTTAATCAAACTGTCCTCTGAGATGAAGGAGGAAGGCTATGTGCCACAAACCAAGGTTGTGCTCTATGACCTTGATAGAGAGGAGAAGGAACGAATTGTATTAGGCCATAGCGAAAAACTAGCAGTTGCATTTGGACTCATCAATACTAGCAAAGGAGAAACCATTCGGATTACCAAGAACTTGAGATTGTGTGAAGATTGCCATTCTTTTACGAAATTCATTTCCAAGTTTGCAAATAAAGAGATTCTGGTGCGAGATGTTAATCGCTTTCACCATTTTCGCGATGGGGTCTGTTCTTGTGGGGATTATTGGTAGTAGTCATATTGTTGTAACCAAAAATCAATCTTTTTCCTTCCAAATAACAAGAGTTGAGATAATACACACTTGTAGTTTTAATATGTACAGCATTCCACTTTCTTCAAATAGATAATATACTTTGTTCATTGTATATATTTTGATAACATAAATTTGAATAATATAAACATAACATAGCATAGTATTTAGATGATATATTCATCTAATTAGTGATTGAAAAAATTTAAAAATCTAGTAAATGAAAAATATAAAATATAAAACATATTGTCTGAGCCCGGGTTCGAACCGGGGACCTCTAGTGTGTGAGACTAGCGTGATAACCAACTACACCACCCAGACGATTGGTTATTGGTGTTATTGGTTAATTTTAATATAAATAAAATCTATATCTGATATGATTTTTAAACGGAACTGGCCTTTCCTTCTGCGTTGATAGAAACAGAATTGCAGAGAAACACCAAACAGAGAATAATTCTCTGCAATTAGTCTCCTCTCTTACCATGGAAGCGCATCATGCATCTTTAGGTCGACGAACGGTGCTGATCTATAATCCCCCTTTAATCTTCTCACAGTTATCTCTCTGAATTTCATTGTTTTCAATCAAACTAAAGGTTGTTTTCGTTTTTTGCTGTAATAGTTGGAAGAAATTCGTCAAAAACGAGCCGCAGAGAGACTCAGCAAGACTTCTTCAGGACCAGATCTCACCCAAGTTTCTTCAATTCCTATTAACGGTCTCCTCTCTCTTTTTCATTTTAATTTTCATTATTTCCTTATTTGATTAATTTAATTGCTTATGGGATTGCTTGATTTATGTATGCATAGATATCTCTGGAATGAGAAAATCGGAGAGCGGGAATCGACTCTCTGAGGTAATTATTTTTATTTTGTATCTTTAATTTCAAATATTCAAAAATCTTTCCTTGAATTCATTTGGTGGTCAAATTTGGTTATTCTGATATCTAATGATGACTGTTGTAGACCGATGTTAGTGGCTTAGTATCTCAGCTGAAAGATATGCAAAATAAGAATGTGGAATTGGAAGAAAGAAACAACATTTTGTCCTCAAAGGTATTGTTTTGATTATTATCAAGACGAGTTTTTTTTCCCGCTGTTGGAGTTATTAGTGATGGAGGCTTTTGGGTATAGTTTTTACTTTACTGAAACTTTTGTTTTCTTTTGATTCAGCTTCAAACAACAGAAGCAGAAAATGGGATTATTCAGTCACGGCTGAATGAGCTGGTTAGGGAACTCAACTTTATGTTCTATTGCATTATGCATGTTTGAGTAGAGAAATCATTATCTGTGGGATGTGGATAAGTTCTTTGTATATTTTGTTGAGTGAAAACCTCATTAACGTAGTGGTATATAATCTGATTGACTCAATTAAGATTCTTTCTTCCTATTTTCTGTTCCATTCTCCCAATTGGCAAGGCACTAGGAATAATTTTTGGGAATTTTTTCTTCAGAGTGATGTTTGTGTAAAGTCTTAATTTTTATAGTTTTTGCATGTACCAATATGATGTTTTTGATGAAGTTTAACTCGTTTATATATTAGCGTCTCTTATTACATTATTTGAGAAAAAGGATACAACCATCAGATTAATTCATAGTGGTTTGTGTTTTACTTTTTTGTCTCTCTTTGCATGCTTAGAATTTCCTTATACTTTAATAGCAGATTATGTATATCATGCTCGTACTTATAATTTGTTTATTTATATGTATTTCCTGCGATAAATTGTAGGAACAAAACACTGTACCATCTTTGAGAAGAGCTCTGAAGGATGTTGCAATGGAGAAAGATGCAGCCGTCGTTGCACGGGTATATATCATCTAAATATTATGCGCTGTTGATTTTCATCTCATATCCATGTGATTATTACTATTCTTCACCCACGAAGTCTAATATTTTAGTGTAGGAGGATCTTTCAGCTCAACTTCGCACTCTCAAAAAACGTCTAAAAGAAGCAGAAGAAGAACAGTACCGGGTATGCAAGTAATGCTGTTTTCTGAGATATGATGTGTCTTAAGTTATAGTTCTTACTTTTGCTCTTCAATAGGCTGAGGAAGATGCTGCAGCCTTGAGAGCGGAACTAAACTCGTTACAGCAACAAGCAATGAGTGGTCCTCCTGTTGGAATAACATCTATGGGAATTTCACCTATGGGAATTTCACCTGATCATATCCAAACATTAGAAAAGGAATTGGCTTCTTTAAAATATGAATTACAGGTTAGACTGTGCGCTGTTACTTTTTATGTTTCCTCCTGCTGAACCTTATGGTCATAGAATCTCATGTTGGCTGAAATATATAGCAAGAGTTACAATTGAGACAGCAAGAGCAACAACGAGCAACAGAAGAGCAAGCTCGAATTTCTGTGCTAATATCCGAAAAGCAGGAATTGGAAGAGAAACTTGCTGCAAGCTCCAGAAAAGCCTCAGGTATTAACCATAAATTTGTTCTAGTTATGATGGATTAATCTCACAATTGCGTAGTTGTGCATATCTTTTATGTACCTAGATTGTTCAATATGCAAAGCATGTGTCCTTTTAATTTTGGTACCCCTTGTAGTTCCAATCGCATAAAATTGTTCCTGAGACTTCACAAGTAACATAATAGACCTTCTAAGTCTTAAATTAGTCTTGTGGCAGCATAACAATAGTTATATATGTTACTTTTTGGTTGATTTCAAGCCGTTGATCTTGTCTCTGCATTGCAGAAGAAGATAAAGCAGTTCACAAGACATTTTCACTGGTAAGATAATGTCTTCACTATCTTTTATGAATTTTAAGCTTAACAAATTGTTAGCAATTGAGTGAACTTGCTAATTAGTTCTTAGCGCTGAAGAAAAAATGAAACAAAAAGTGAAATAATAACTTTAATTGCATGTTTGCTGTCTGCTTTGTCTTTTATGTTGATTGCTATAGTTTGTCATTCTTGTTAACAGCAACATAGTCTGTTATAGCAGCATCTCTTTGACTTCTTTTCTTATTGAGGCTTGATCACTCACTTTTTATGCAAGGCAAGAAAATGTTGAAGGGCTAATGTTTCATGTTTTGTTGTTGTGCTCTCTTATGTTTAATTTGCTTTTATTTTTATTTTGCAGGAAGACAAAGAGAAACTTGAAAAGCAATTGCATGATATGGCTGTAGTGGTTGAGAAACTAGAAAGTAGCAGACAGAAACTTCTAATGGAGGTGCAGCCTTTGCTTTCATGGTTTTTTTTTTTTTTTCTGTGATTAGTGGATTTTTCGGGGTGCATCCACATTCTTAAGGCAAAGTTGATTTCTTTTTTCTTTTGACAGATTGATAGTCAATCTTCAGAGATAGAGAGGCTTTTTTATGACAATTCTAATCTCTTGTCTACTTATCAAGAGGCAGTGGGCATAGCAAAACACTGGGAGAATCAGGTACTCAGAAGGTTTCTAGAATCAGAATTATTTATTATGGATCTCTGCAATTCTATGTTGCATGATTTATACATTAAGATGTGACTTTCCCCTAAATAAATGTGGCATGATTATCATACTTGAACTTTTTCAGTATATCACTATAAGTCACAGTCTGTCTCAGTTCAGTTCATATGGTGGCTTATTCATTTCACATCTTCATAGCTTTCTGATAATGTGCTAGAGCTATTGTCAGAACCTCTGGTTAAAGCTGATGTTAATTACGGTGTTTATTATTCTCTAGAGATGATAATAGCTTCTGTATATGCTATATTCAAAATCTTTCCAGGTGTTGGCATTGTTTCAAATAGTAATGATCATGTTTCTTAAAAGTGAGTAGTTCTGATAATCTGCATGATATGTTATTTTTCAGGTCAAAGACTGCCTTAAGCAAAATGAAGAACTCCGTGGAATTCTAGATAAGTTAAGAACTGAGCAGGCTAGTCTAGTGTCTATGAATGAAAAGAATATCCTGAGAGGTTCGTCAGAAATCTCGAATGATCCTGTCAGCCAGAATGGTTCACCAGAGTTTCTGTCCCTTAAGGTTTGGTTCATAACTTAGGAAGTTGTGTTTCTTCATGAGTCCAATGATCTTTTCTTTGAACGAATATCTACCAGCTTACATCCTGGTCCTTTTCACTATATGTTGTTCTTAGGGACATTCTTGTTGTATGTGATTATCTTACTATTCCTAGTTGTTGTTATAGGGCCAGCTTGCACAAGAACAGAGCAAAGCAGAGGCATTATCGGCTCAGGTATTGCAGCTCTCAGCAGAACTTCAGCGAGCCACACAAGCATATAATGGACTTGCACGGCTGTAAGATCTTCATTCTGTTGTCTCATTTATTTATTTTCACTAGATGTTTTGGTGTTCAAATTATTCATGAAAAATTCTCTGATGTTGATCTTTCATTTTAAATATTGCAGGTATAAACCAGTACTACGGAATATTGAAAGCAGTCTCATTAAAATGAAACAAGATGGTTCTTTAACTGTGCAATAAACAGAGGGGCCAGTTTTGTGTCAACATTCTCCATGGATGCTTTTGTGCTACCAACATATACAATTTTGTAAAAGATTTAATTTGATCACACATTCTTTATTCAATTTTAATGATTGTGTAGCTTTATAGTGTTACAATTGGTGTTTCAACCCCTACAAACAAAGAATAGAAAACATTGTTAAACGGCATGTAGTGGAAGAGAGGTAAATCCTGATTCCTTTTATGAGAAATTAATTGATTTGAGTCTCTTGATGGAGTTTTGTAGCCTTGTGCATGAATAGATATTTAGATGCAGATTTTATGCTTTCATTATGCTGTTGTTGGCTTTAAACTACTGAAATTCTGGAATCAGAACAGGTTCACCATGAAACCAGAATTAACACATATCGCATCTTCCAGATTAATAAGGAGCAAAATTTAATGGTTTCCTCAGCTAAATTGAAACCTGGACTTCCCAAACAGTGGGTTTCATGTTAAATAATGATTTGTCATCATTTGCTGTCTGTGCACATGCATAAGAAGATATGCCAACTGTAAATTACTGGCAGTTGGCATCCAATTCTCCATGATTGAAGCCTGTAATTCCTCTTGAATAGATACCAAGCTCAAAACAATATTTTATTTGGGACTTCTGAAGGAATCTCCGGGCTTTTGCTTTATATATAGCGAAAAAAAAAAAAAAGGTTTCCCTTCCTGTTCAACCTTGTATAAACAATTTTATCTTAGCTGAACTGTTGAATTATGAAAGAAGAAGTGAGGGAAACATTTTGTCTTTTGCTTATGGTGGCTAGCAATCATTGGTTTCTGTCTTTCTCTACCAATGAAAACCAGTTGTTCAAAGCTTGGGGCCAATAAAAAGAAAAAGTTCTCTTTGGAACTGTTAACAATGCTTGCTTACTAAGCAATAATGTATTCTAAAGATAGTGGAACTCTTTTATAAGTGTTTAGTGTTATCAAGAGGCAAGAGACTCAAGTCTGAATCAAGATTTTACTGATCATTAGTCGAGTATGAAGTGCAAAAGCATTTGTTTCTGCATTCCTGGGTATAAGAAGAAAGAAATCCAGGGTGAAGAAGCAGAGAAATCTTCACATTCTCATAGTAAATCTGGTAAAGGTGCCAAGAAATATGGAGACGACCAAGTTGAAACTAGTGATCATGGACATGATGGAGCTTCAGCTACCAATACTACTAGTAGTACCAGCAATGATGCAGCCAAGGCTGCTGTGATTATAAGCACAGCTCATGTATCATCAACCATGGAAGGGAGTGGTTGTGGCAGTTCACACGGTGGCAGTGGTGGCGCCGATGCTGGTTAAGGCTGTCGAAAGTTGGCAGATTTAGGTCTATTGCTATGATGGGTTATGTTTTTCTAGTATTGTGAAAGGAGGATTGTTGTTATTTGGATTCAGCTGTGTGAGATAATGGAGTTGAGATGGAATTAGTATGCAAGCTGCAGAAGATTGGTGATGAGCTTTGATACTTCTGTTTTGTGTGACATTGTGTGAAGATGTGAATTTGTATTTTGGTTCTGATTTTGTTGAATTCATGTAAGATTTTCTATATTATTTGAGATTTGAGAATGAAAATTCTTCACATTCTGGTGTCCCTTTTCATTTATGTATGGACTGAATCGTTGTTTCTGTTTGGCTATTACAATGACCACAATTTAAGAGTACCTTTAATTTTTTTTTTTTTTTTTTTTTTAAGTTATAGCAAAACAAAATTCAATTAGAAACAAATTTACTCTCTCTCTCTCTCTATCTATATATATATTTCAAATGATAAAAATTCATATTTGTGAATTAAATGCCCCCTAAATTAACCATTTATTAATATTCAACAACATAAAATGAATTTCCCAATGTTTCCTATACATCATACAAATATACTATAGCATTTTTTTGTCTTATTTAAAGAAAATGCAAATTAGGGGTATGCAAATTTTTAGGGTAGAATTGGAATTGATAGGTACCTGGGGTGTCGGTTTTGGTTCCTATCTGGAACCGACCCTGAGAGGGTTAGTTTCAGTTTCAAATTTGGTGGAACCGGCACTGTACAAGTCCAATTCTAGTTCCACCACTTCAGGAACGGGTCTTGGAACCAAGGTCCGGGTATCTAGGGTGGAACCGATGGATACTTGGAGTGTATTTGTAATTTATGTAAATAATTGATGTGTATTTATAATTTTTATAGGATATATTTGTTATTTTTGTGAATAAAAATGGTGTATTTATAATTTTTGTGAACAGTCGAGTACTCAGACTCGGAACCGAACCTATGGTGGTTTCGGTTCCTTGATTCTAGGTGCCGCTCGGTCCGGTTTCAGTTCTAACTCACGCGAATTATTATTATGTATTATTATTGAAGGAAAGAGAGAACTAAATATATATAAAAAAAATTATCTTTAAAATTGAAACTTGAAAAAAATAGCTAAAACGGCAACGTTTAGAGAACAAGCGCACACACCGCCTCTCATTGATATATATCCCGTTTCACAAAATCTAAAATCCCTAACCCTATCGCGCGCGCTTACAAACAATACAACAATGTCAGTGTCGACCCAAAACCCGACCCAGCCGAAGATCCGATGGGGAGAACTCGACGAGGACGATGGCGAGGATTTGGACTTCCTCTTGCCACCTATGCAAGTGATCGGTCCCGATGAGAACGGGATCAAGAAAGTAATTGAGTACAAGTTCAACGACGAGGGCAATAAGGTCAAAATTACCACCACCACTCGCACTCGCAAGCTCGCAAATGCTCGTCTCAGTAAGCGTGCCATTGAGAGGAGAAACTGGGCTAAATTCGGCGACGCTGTGCGCGAAGATGTCGGTAGCAGACTCACCATGGTCTCCACCGAAGAGATCTTGCTTGAGCGCCCTCGTGCTCCTGGTTTGTCACTTCTCTTTTTGTTTGTTCATGTATTATAATGTTTGTTGATTGGTATTTGTTGATATAGGGTCTGTTTGATGAAAATTTGTGGTTGAGAAATTTATAGGGTTTTTGTAGTTTAGTTTGAATTGATATATATATATATATATTGCATTGATTGTCAATTTGGTTCTGTAGATATCCTGGCTGTTCACTTTTGTTATTTCGCTCATATATTTTGTAGGGTTTAATGATTTTCGTTTTTCAATTTTTATGTCGGTAGGGTTTAAAGATTTCATCTTCCCTTTCGAATTTTTTCAAAGATGACACAGTTTGGCATGTGCCTAATTGTAAACTTAAGTGTGTTGAGGGGGTTTGGGGATATGTGAGTTATTAGAATAAGTGTTATTGAATTTTGTTAAATGTTGACATTGATTTCAATTGCTTTTTATATGCTTTGTTTCATTTGTGGAGGCTTTATTTGTTCCTTATAGATAAGTATTTTATATGCTTGTACACTTCAGGAATTATATGAAGATGTTATCTTGGGTTATGAAATTGCAATGTATGTTCTTTTTCGTCGTATAATGGGAAACCTGAGTCTGAGCTTAATTAGTGATATCAATTTCAGGAATTAAGAAGATTATGATTGTGTTGATGAAATGACCGGTGACGGCTGCGCATTTAGGCTGTGTTGTTCCTTAGCAGCCAATATTTTAGAAATAGAATAATACTTTGTGAGTGGAAAGTTGATGAATCTAGCCTATTTCTTGATATTGTCATCCTGAAAAAAAAAATGAAGGGCCTTATTTGTCTCGTAAAATGTGATGGCAGTTATCAATACTTGTATTGTTATTTAAGTTTTTGGTATGGGCAGATGCTGTATTGTGCTTGAAAGATTGTATTCTTACTATACCCCTTTCAAGAAAATATGTTAGCTGAATTACCAATTTTACTATACTGTGGAAACTTTTTGACAAAACTGCATTTTTATATTACAGTTTAGAGACAGACATCATCCTTTAACTGCATAACTACGGATCTGTTCTGCATATATTTTTTAGAAACGTAGTTTATGTTTTTTTGTTGCATTACAGAACTGTATGAGTGACAGTGTTCATGTTAATTTCATATACGAGATTAGTTGACTCCGTTGTTAATATCAAATGCTTTATTGTGTTTGTTTCTAGTGTGATTGATTGTTATGTCTGTATAGTACTAACATTAAATTTTGATATCTTCATTGTTGCCTTTTTTGTTTTTGGTGTTACTACTGTATCCATTAATTTTATAAACCCCATTATCGTTTAATGGATGTCTTGTTTTGTTGATTACAATTCTGTTACATCCATAGTGAACTTTGGACTTGCCAACAGGTAGCAAACCAGAAGAAACAAAGGTTGCAGGAGATTCCTTGGCTAAACTTAGCAAAGGAGGTGCTGTTCTCATGGTGTGTAGGACTTGTGGTAAGACGGGTGACCACTGGACAGCAAGGTGTCCCTACAAGGATCTTGCTGCACCATCTGAGGGATTTGTTGATAAGCCCACTGCATCAGAAACCACAGCTGCTGCTGCTGGTGCAACGAAGGGAACATATGTTCCTCCGGGTATGAGAGCTGGGGCAGAGAGAACTGGAACTGATATGAGACGCAGGAATGATGAGAACTCTGTCAGGGTCACCAACCTTTCAGAGGACACTCGGGAACCTGATTTGCTTGAGCTGTTCCGGCCTTTTGGTGCTGTAAGTCGTGTTTATGTTGCTGTTGATCAGAAGACTGGCATGAGCCGAGGTTTTGGTTTCGTGAACTTTGTGAACAAAGAAGATGCTCAGAGAGCAATCAACAAACTGAATGGTTATGGGTATGACAATCTCATTCTGAGAGTTGAATGGGCAACACCAAGGACAAACTAGATTCTTCTTTTCATCCCCAGTTTTAATGTTCTACAATAACAATTTTGTCTATTGTAATATTTTTGAACTCCCAAAAGAATGTGGATGTTGCATGGTTTTGAGACGATGTGGCTTTTTATAAAAGTACTTTGTATGCACATGATTTAACTTTTGCATTACGTTCAACCTTTTCAGTATCCCTTGATTTGGTGCTTTAGTTGTGAAAGCTAGTTTAGACTAGCCGAATAATGCTTGTTTTTGTTTTGGTTAAAAATGGAGTCTTGATTGATATTTATTGGAGATAGCGTGAAGCCTGGAGAGTTGAAATTTTTGGTACATAAAAGCAAACAAAAAATGTAGCTCTTTCACTGTATGTGTGGTGTATTGTCTATTATAACTCACTGGATGCCTCGTTTAAACGGAAGCGGGTGAAGCTTGAAAGTCTGTTAAGTCCTGGTTTGTGAGGCAGATCGTGAAGATTAGATGTATGTCTTTTCTTTTGCATTGAAGAGCAATGGACGATCTCTAAATAAGGATGGAGCTCTCTATACTTGGGATGAATTGGGATTATAAAATCCAAAAGCAATAAATGAAGATAAAAACGGAGTAGGCTTAACTGGTGTGGAATCATGCAAACACAAAAAGAGGATCCCATATCTCTTGACAGTTGACAGGCCGGTTCTTTCTTTATTATTGTTTCCTTTCAATTGTTATTTGGTGATGTGATTTGATTCATGATAGGCTTCTCAATATAGCCTCAGTCGGTCAGTCATCTATCAAGAAAATGACGTATTTATTTTGTACTTTAATGGCTTTGAGTGAGTTCGAATATCACAAGATAAAGATAAGAACAGAAACTGCAAGATAACGATGGCGCATGATGTTGTTGTTTCACTATAAATTCCAAAAGAAAAAAGGTTTCACGATCCTCTTTAATATTTGTAGAAAGCTAAACGCAATGTGGACTTTTCATATGGAAATTATGATCCCTCTTGCGTCTGCATCACTTACTGGAGTTGTTTTTCTTTGTGATCATTCTTATTGTGCTATCACATGTCTACAGTCAATGCAAAGCAAAAATTGGTTTCTTTTTTCTTTTGGTGGTCGGGTGTCCGACCCAGCTTGTATGTATCTCAATTAATCTCTCGAAATTTTAAAGTTAACGGCTAGATAAACACTCTAGTAGTCACTCTTATTATCAATCGAAATGAATCGAATTCAAGATTTATTGAGTAATATACATAAGAGTCTTTATCGTCTCACTCGACCACTCACAGATGGTTAAATAGGTGAGATTATATTCCCAAATAGAGAAGGTTCCAAGTAGGGAGTGATACATGTGGACCGGTTAGTATCAAATGAATAAATAATAATAAACCTAATCAACTACCAACCCAATAAAACAAACATTACTACTATTAATTGTGTAATGAGATTCACTATATATTATAGAGTAAACGACATGTTCCCACCCAAGTTTGACGAAATCCCAAGTTGGTACATCAAGTTCCATTTATTCTATATTTCCACCCCTAAAATAACACTGTTAACATTTTTTGGGATAGTGAGGGTGCAATTACCATAATGCCCTTAACCCTAAATTAATAAATTATATTTTAGCCCCTAAATTACTAAAATTATAAAATTAACCATCTTGTTTTGAAATTACTTCAATTACACTCTCAGTGACTGCGCACAGTCTCGATTTTCACCGGATCTGGGCTGTTTCCGATGATGGCGAAACCCCTGGTCACCTTCATCAGCTTTCCCATCGTCCGTCGTCCAAAACCCCTCTGATTCCCGACCCGTTGACCTCTCCAATCGACTGCGCCGTCAGGGTTAGGTTTTTGTCATTCTTGACTGGATTCCGATCGATTCCGGCAATGAAAATCTAATTCGACGTCACCACTACAATCAACATCTCCTAATCTACAAAACCCCTATGTCCTAGCAAACGTTTAGTGGTCATTCGTTGGTGGAGATCGACGAAAACCAGCCACATGTGGTGGCTGTCGTGGCTGGCAATCGACGAGTGATAAGGGGTTGTCAATGGTACGGTTTTGTAGAGGGGAGGATGAGGGTTTGAATGGTGGTGACAAGGGTGATTTTGGGTGGAAGAATTGCAGGAAAAGGGCGAAAAACGTCGACGATGAGGTTGGCCAACGTGCGCTAAAACTTTATCAGGGGCTGCGATCTGCAAATATGCGCCTCTTCTGTGAAATGACCAATTTACCTCTGAGCCGTTATATCTAACCATTTTCCGTTACTTTAAGGGTGAGAATATGGAATAACTGAAACTTGGCGTACCAACTTGGGATTTCGTCAAACCTTGAGTGGGAACATGTTGTTTACTCTATATTATATTCATTATAGGGTTAATATAATGCCCGACCCACGTGATACAAAATTAATAGTAGCGAAAATGTATTTAATATGTTTCTGCCTTCATTGAAGGGTGAACAGGAAAGGGTAGAAAATGAAAGATTGGTAGTGGTAGTGGTAGAAGTGACATCAGCGGCTCAAAAATTGGTCAAGCGAATGAAGTGGGTAGTAGTGAAAGAGTCAAAAGGATTGAAAATATTCGATTGAAAGGACAAAAATACAAGAGCAACTCTACAAAAGGTTTGCCATACATCTGCGCTGGCCACGCACAGCTGCTCCTCTCCACATATAGATATAGGTATACGCACGCACGCCCGCACGTCCAGTCAGTGACAACAAATTTACTGCCAAAAATTCATATAAAAGGGCCCAAATGAAGCCCAGATTCCTTTAGACAGTCTGTCTCATATCTCATCCCGTGGGTGGCCCTTGTTTTGCTGCCTCTAAAATTGCCGAGCTAATGTATCTCGGACTAATTTCTTGAAACTTTAAAGTTAATAGCTAGATAAATATTCCAGTGATCATTCCTATATCAACGAAAGGAACTAAACTCAAACTTTTAGAGTAATATACTTAAGAGTCCTTATTGACTCATCGATCACTCATAGGTGGTTAAATTGGTGAGATTATATTCCCAAACTGAGAAGGTTACAGTAGGAAGTGATACATGTGGACTTGTAGTATCAAATAAATAAATAATATAAACCTAATCAACTACCCAACAATAAAACAAACATAAATACTATTAATTGTGTAATGAGATTCACCCTAGGGTTAATATAATGCCGATCCACGTGATACATTTATATAGTGAATCATCCTTACACAATTAATAGTAGTGAAAATGTATTTAATATGTTTCTGCCTTCATGAAGTGGACAGGAAAGGGTAGAAAATGAAGATTGGTAGTGGTAATGTATGGTAGAAGTACATCAGCGACTCTAAAATTGGTCAAGCGAATGAAGTGGGTAGTAGTGAAAGAGTCAAAGGATTGAAAATATTCGATTGAATGGAGGAAAAATACAAGAGCAACTCTACAAAAGGTTTGTCATACATCTGCGCTGGCCACGCACAGCTGCCCTCTCCACATATAGGTATACGCACGCACGCAGCACGGACCGTCCAGTCGGTGACAACAAATTTACTGCCAAAAATTCATATAAAAGGGCCCAAATTTAGCCCAGATTCCTTTAGACAGTCCGTCGGTAGTCATATCTCATCCCGTGTGGGTGGCCCGTGTTTGCTGCCTCAAAGATGAAATCTTCCTTTCTCTTCGCTCTTTGCACTCTCTTCTTCGCAATTACTCTCTTGGTTTTGTTAGCCACATTGCTTGAGATCAACTTTCATGGCGTCGATCGTCGAATCTGCTTGGCAGGTATTCTTTCTCTTTTTTCTTTCTATCTTTTACTCAGTATTTTACCCTTTGCTCCCATGGATCTGTATGTAGTTTACTCTCTTGTATTCTTTGTTTATGCAATGAATAATGGGTTGTCATTAGTTTTCTGTGATTTTATTTACAAGACTTAGATAATAAGTGTTATACGTTATGAAGGATTTTTGGTTTTTCAAAGATTGTGATGGGGCTTCACTGTCGTGTCTGGTTGAGTATGAATAGGAAACTCCATTGTTAGATCTTTGTTTGTTTCACAAGAATCGTTAGCGCCAATTACGAGGAGTTAAATGCCAAGAACTTTAATTATTTGTGTGTAACTAAAATTTTAGTCTCATTTGTCTGATAGAAAGGATTGTGTATGATTTTATCTGATTAGGATTGATGATTGATCATATAAGTGTTAATTCTGAAACTCTTGTTTCTTCATGATGCAGTTCTTATCACACCTTTCAACGATTTTCAACTGGGTGTCTAGGAAGTTTCTTTCTTCATGAAAGCGTCTTTTCTTTTCTGGACTTCTTTTATATATCTTGAGAGGGCAGGATGGCTGAGCAAATACAAATTCAGGTCTGGCTTTTCTCCTTTTGTTATATTAAAGCTGTCCTTCCTTAAGCCATTTTTGTTTGGTATACATAATAAGCAAGACATTATATAGAAGGGAAGGAAAAAAAGAAAGAACGGAAATTTGTTGCTAAATAATTGAATGGATTGGTATTGCTTTCAATGATTTAATCATGCTGCAATTTCTTTGATGCAGATGCTTGTTCATCATTTAAAGGACTATCTTATCATTTATCACATGCATCAACTATGATGAAAGCTATAGCGTTTTTTCCTTTTAATTTAAATGTACTTTCTAAGGGCTTTATGCATGCTTTTCATAGGTAGCCTTATAAGTGTTGGTGTGACGTTTTCATTTTTCCAAGGTTTTTCTCAATGTCTTGAATGTTGAACTACTTGAAGTTCAGAATACTTACTAATTTCTGGTTCGCAGACAAAAACAACAGCCCTGCAGCTCAGGAGAAATGTATTACTCGACTACTGCTGGATCACTTTGGTGTCAACTTACCTGTTATGATTTGTCCTATCCGTCTTCACAATTACATGGGCATGCGAAGTAGTCTTCTTTTGCCGTCCTGGTATTTTCAGGTTCTTTATGCACTAAGGCTTTTGCATAAATACATTGCTGTATGTGATGCATATGTTACTCTGGAAACATTTTCAACTATATCTTCTGTTGATATATGCTTATCTTGTGCGAAGCTTCTGGTTCTGCAGGAAAGTGGTTCTTCACGATATATTCTACTTTATCCTGGAAGATTTGTATTCTATTGGGGGCATCGCATACTACATACAAATGGTTGTACACAGCACTACACGGTGTCCATCATGAGAAGTCAAACTTGGTTTTGTATGGTGCTA